TCCACATACCGCAAAAATAATGCCCTTAGTGTGAGTCAGCTGCATGAAAGCACATGTTTTGATTGGACTGTGGTAGTCTGAGACCCGAATTGAAGCACCTATCCCCCGCATCCACTGAGTGCATGCGCTGCTCTGACACTGCTCTGCACAGGAAGGCTTGTTTGCAGTTGCGCTGGTCAAGCATTCTGTCTTGGACATGTTGTGCAGCCGAGTTTCCCAAGCGTTTGGTATCGAAATGGTGTCCGACCGTCGCCCGAACAAGTTCGGATTTGTTCATTCTTTTGTTTTTGTTCGCGAACGTGCTCGCCATCGAGCTGTCGACGTTAAAACCGAATCCGAATGTTATCCGAATGGTTTCGGAACGTTTCTGTTTCATTTTTTTGGTTCGCGAACGGCTTCGGGATTGATACGTTGAGAACCGTAAAAATCCGTAAAAATCCGTAAAAATCCGTAAAACTCCGTAAAAATCCGTAAAAATCCATTGACCGAATCCGAACGCTTCCGAAGATGTTCCGAACGTGTTCCGCAAGTTTTCCGATCTTTTCTGATTGTATTCCGAACGTTTCCTCCCCCTATCCTCAACATAACCACACATGTTCGACGTGCTCTTAAATTTATCCCCACCGTATCACCACGGGGGCCGGAAACATCGAAACGAACACGAACGCCTCAGAACCCTATCCCCACCGTATTGCCACATGCCCCGACCGGACCGGAACGTGATCACAGCCTATCCCCACCGTATCGCCACATGCCCCGACCGGACCCGAACATGCCTATCCCCACCGTATCCCCCCAAATCCCGATTACGTTCGCCGCCTAAAACCCTATCCCCGCCGTGTCGCCACATGCCCCGACCGGACCCGAACGTGATCGCAGCCTATCCCCACCGTGTCCCCCCCCAAATCCCGATTACGTTCGCCGCCTAAAACCCTGTCCCCGCCGTGTCGCCCCATACCCCGACCGGACCCGAACGTGATCACAGCCTATCCCCACCGTATCCCCCCCAAATCCCGATTACATTCACCGGCTAACAACCTATCCCCACCGTATCGCCACATGCCCCGACCGCCCGACCGTGATCACCGCCTATCCCCACCGTATCCCCCCAAATCCCGATTACATTCACCGGCTAAAAGCCTATCCCCACCGTATCGCCACATGCCCCGACCGGACCCGAACGTGATCGCAGCCTATCCCCACCGTATCCCCCCAAATCCCGATTACATTCACTGGCTAAAACCTTATCCCCACCGTATCACCTTCACCTCCTGTGTTCCCAACGAGCCCTTTGCGTGAACAAGGGTTCAAGCAACGAGGCTTGGTCTTGTGTAGTGTGTAGCAGGGTAGCTGTAGAAGATGCCACCGAAAAAGAAGAATGCTGCGAACGAAGCAGCGCCTGCTGCCCGAGAGATCTCAGAGAAGAGCCGTGTTTCTTGTTTGCACCATTAAGCTGAGAACCACGCCATGCTTGTCACCTATACCAAATATCCTCTCTGGGAAGACTCTGCCAGGCCATGGCAGCGATGATCGACAGCAACATATCTTTGGGAAACTTGGGGCTGTCTGTGGAGCAGCAACAGGAGGTTCAGCGAAGGTTGCTTCTTGTCTCAATGTGTACGTGGCTGTGCATTTCCTGATTTTGACACATTGCCGATTTTCTGCGCGCATTTCTTCCACGCAGGGGTGCCTTGTCGATGGCGCCGCCTGGCTCTGCTGGAATTAAGACGACCTCGGCGCCAAGTACCACCGCGCCGAACTCGTCGGCTGCAACACCGGCCCCGACACCAAGCTCCACGCCGGGCGGATCCTCCCCTACCTTGACTTCGCCTCCTGGAAGTGTGGTTGGGGGTGATCTTCTTAATGGTGAAAACGTGCTTCCCAAGTCTGTGATAGAGATGGACAGCCCGGTGACCCCTGCTGAGAAGATTCGCAGCCCTGTCACGCCGCGGTGTCGAATCGTGGTCCCCATGAAGTCTTTCGCGTCGGATTCTTCCGAGCCCGGCAACGTGACCGAAGACGAGCTTGCCTCTTCTTTGCACGAACTTCTGGAGACTCCAGAACCGGTGGGTGCCAAGGCCTTTCCTGATCCTATCCTGCGCCAAGAATCCATGCTTGCGCATGGGGCTTCTTTCGCTGAGCCGACGGTTGGGAAGACTGCAGTCTACAGGGTCTGGTGTAATCAAATTTATGAATGTCATCAACGTCTTATAGGGCTTTGGGTGATGAGGATTCTACTTTGTCACGTTTTTGGATCCATCCCTGAACCCTTTCCTTCCTGACAGTCCCTGGTGGAAAGCGACGCCTCCGCTGCAACGCTGCACCACGAGCCGCCGCTGACCTTGAAGCAAAAGGCCCACTCCACTTTTCTGTATGCTGTCATTCCTTACATGTGCAAGTCCTGACCCTATACCCTGGACAGACCCAAACAAACCCATTTGTGCAGCTTTCCTGATGCAGTCTGCAATCCTGTGATGAACTCAGCTCTGTCCCGAGTAGTTCCATTAACGCCAGAATTACACCCAGTGCTTGTTAAAGTTTATATAGGGCTACGAGCTTGATTCTAGCATGCACAATAAGTCAAGATGCGGTGTTCAATGTGTATGGTGAGCCGTGAGCCTTAAAATTAAACAGGTCGAACTCCTTGGGAACCCTAAACCTGACACGCTATATGGAAGCTGCATATGAAGCCCAAGCCGTGAACCTATATAGGCCTGAAGTAAACTATACTTCTGCTGAGGATCCAATCCGAGAGCCGCGCGACGCAGCCGAAGCGGAGCAAGGCAAAGAGCAAGGCCAAGGCGCCGAACCCGAATCCGATCCCTAGTGAGTAGGCCGCTTCGAAGAAGCAGGTCGTGGCCGCGGCAGCTCTTCATGAAGTATGCACGCACACATGTAACAGGCAACATGCCCTGCGTAACCTGCACCAGTGAAGCTGTCTGCGGCCAGAGTTTAAGGGATGGTGACCATCTCATTTTTTTGCGGGATTTCAGAACGCCTTCAGCCGTTCACAGGATGGAATGCGATTCAAGAGCATTCAGGATGTCACGAGCAAAATGTAGAAGCCCGAGCTGATGATTGGGACCCACTACCTGACGAGTTCCACATGTGCGGATTTATGTTTTGGCCCCCTAGCATGTATATGTAACCCAAACCTGTGATTAATGAACTCCCTCCCCTTAGGGATTGTGAGCGGTGCCTACATGGTGAACTCTCCTCAGGTAGTTGACGCTTTTATCAACACGATGATCAGAAGTCTCTGAAAGCTGGATGCTTTTCTTGTTGCACTCACAAAGGCTTTGAAGGTAGGAGTGCAGTTGTTTCAACCCACTTGAAGTTCCATGAAGCGCAAACTTTGGCCGAACTCCCCACGTTAACACAGACTATGGCCCCCATTAAGTATATAAAGAATATGGCTTCAAAGGGATATATTACAATAAGAACCCCATACACCCAATATTCTATGCATTTAAGCGGTAGTATCGCCTATCAAACCTACACCTTGTATAGCCCTACTAAGTCCAACGTTGAAATTCCTGCGACCAGCCATAAACCGTACGTCAAGTTGTCTGACCATTCGCTTTAATAACCATAGCCGTAGTAAGTTCTGCAGTTGCCATGTGGCGTGAAACCGTTATGACTGGCATGCCGGACATAAACCATGTGGAAGCGCGTCAAGCGCTTGCGGGACAGCAACCTGCCAAAGAAATCTCTGCTAGCTGATGGGCAAACTGGTGCGGCGCAAGCTTCAGTAACACAGACAACTGAGAGCAGCGGAGCGCACTCATCTGCTTCCCGAACAGCCTCCAGCTCGGATTTTTCACTGAAAAGCCCGCTGACACGTGAATTGGCGCTCCGGGTGGGCCAGGGTCAGCCAGCTTCACTCCTTCAGCAGGTGGCGCAGGCAGCTGTCAAGGAGTCCGGTGTGGATCATGTGTCGAAAAGTTATTTGTCCTTGACGGTCTGTTTTGTTTTTTGTTTGTTGCTGATTCCGAGATATACCTTTTTTCCTAAATGCAATTGCCGCGCTATCAATAGTGAGACACTATAGGCACAGCCTGGGCATCGCGTCTGGGCAATGATGGAAAGCGATCCGGGCACATCGAGGGCTCTGTACACAAGGCCGCTATGAAATCAGATGATGTGCCCGTCCGCTGCCCGGTGTCACCTGTGACCGTCTTGATTAAGAACAGGGCAGCCGAGAAGGCGCGCCGCCAGGCACTGGAGCGCATGCGCTCGTTCAGGAAGCGGCAAGCAGCAGCCAAAGGGGCACCGAAGGCGAAAGCGAGACCAAAAGCCAAAGCACGCAACTTCATCAGCAAAAAACCGTGGACTGGAGAACCCGTTCATGAAAACTGGCCGGTGTTCTTGCTGCGCCTGATGCTGCAGAGTGTGTTTGCAGCAGGGCTGATCAAGAATCTGAGCCCAAGCCAAAGTGAGTAGGTTTTTGAGGAATGATGTTAATTGTTGGGCTCATAACCTCAACCGCAAGCCACGAATCCGTGACTGCAAACCTGCGCTTCTCGCTCAGGACCGGAGATTTTGATTGGCTGGACTTCTGGGAGCACGCTCGTTCCGAGGAATGGGGAAAGACTGTCAGTCTGAGTTATAACCCTAAACCGTAACATTGGAGCCTATCTCGAATGTGAAACCTTAGTATTCTCAAGGCCGATTCAATGATTTGCTCAAGAGATCTTCAGTTTTCAACAGATTAGTGTTCGTAAGGAACCACCCAGTCCAAAGCTGGTCCGTGGAAGGCAAATCGAAAGCTATAGCCATATCACTTCATGGCGATGAAGGATCTGGTAAACGGACCAGGGGCATTATGATATTGTCGTGGAGTCCACTTGCTGTTCACGATGCTTCGATGCTCACGAAGTACCCGTTTGCAGCGCCTTGCCCCGGGAAAAGGAGTTGTTTTCTTGTGGGTATGTTTTCTATCAGCTTAACCCTACAACCTTGAAGCCCCAAGTTGAAAACACTCCATGAACGAATATAAGGTGATCCGCAGCGAGCTGTTTCACTATGGGCCATCTGGACAGAACATTACGCTGGACAACCTGCAGCAACATTTGGCCATGTCTCCCTAGCAGGGGGCTTTACAATACATGTCGTCCTCGGAAAGGGCGACTGGAAATTTAAAAGGGAATGGCTTGCGCAGAGCCGTCATTACAATCTGACTGACGCAATATGCCCAAGATGTTTCGCGTCCGGGCGAGATGAGTCGCCGAAACCGTGGCTTGACTGTCAGGAAAGATTCAACAACAACGCGGATCTCCAGGCAGCCAAGGAAACAAGAGTTGGCCCTGAGATTTGGTACCCAGGCTGCACACGCATGAGTACCTTTAGTAGTTCCTGGTTATAACGGGAAACAATTCATTCTTCAATTTGCGAAGCTAACTGCTGTTTGAATTGTTAACTCTCATTTCCCTGACAATATACCACCTTTCCCAAACTCCTCTGTAGCAAGGTTGCACACCATCGACGGCTGGAGTGGATCTTGCGAAGCAGCTGATGTCACGCACGCTTTATGGTTGGGAACGGGACGCGACTGCGTCGGAAGTTTATTGCTTGACATGGCCGAGTACTGGGATCGATGCAAGCCATTGGCAACCTACGATGAAAGGCTCCTAGTCATTTTGCACGATTTCCATGTTTGGTGTCGAGAGAGCGGCGCACGCCCATCCGCAGTTGATGAAATGAGTATCTTCCATCAACATCATTAGCACCTTTCCTAATTTCCCACCCCAAATGATCCAAATGGGCATGTCCAGGCACTTAGCGTGCAATCCCTTTATACATGCAAGCCACCAGTAAGGCCTGCAGAGACTGTCTGTTGGGGCCATCACGCTGGACTACCCACTTGGGTATTCGAAGGCGTATACAAACAAAATCCTGCTTCTAAGCTGATCATTGGCACAAGTGTTTTGGGAGCTCGTAAAGCAAACTTCTGTATTTGTAGCCAAGAGGAAACAATCAATGAAGCATAGACTTCAGTGACCAGGATGGCGTACTTGGCTCAGCGGCTTCGGGTGCCCGGATGGCTTCGGCAAATACTTTTTGGCTTTTTTCTGGCGCCGTATCACGACCCGACATGCCTCAATCCAAAGACGTTTGTGTTGTGTGCAGGATGGACTTGCCCTTACCTTACACATTATACACGAAATTCAGGAGCTTGACATACCGGAGATGAGGGTTCATGCCGTGTGCGCGTGGGCTATCAATCGTTACTCGTGCATTCTTGACGCAGCGTCCCTCTGGCTAACGCAAGAGCAGGCCGCGGCCGCGGTTGCGACTCATGTTACTCAATTCCAGGAATTTTGTTGTCCGCGTGCAAAGGTTTTTAGGATTTAGGGTTCATGGGGATACTTGGTAGAAATCGAAGCTAGAGTGAAAAATAAAAAGGGGCTTGTAATCTTCTGATCTCAACCCATCGCAAGGGCGGGACGCCTTTATGTTTCCAGCTACATTCTTCTTGCCGAAGATGCTCTGAGTCGGAGGCGGCCACGCTTCAAGACGAGGCCCAAACTACATCAACTGCACTGTGAGCTGGTGTGCCGACTCGATCCTTCTCCAGATGCTGTGGCTACTACGCGCATGAATGTGAGATGGGGCTCTTGCTTCATGGAGGAGGATTACGTCGGGCAGATGGTTAAGATGCTCAAAGGGGCCGTACACACGAAGACACTGGGCCTCAGAAGCTTGCAGCGCTGGCTGCTCCAGTACAACTGCGAGATGGCGCCGCGTGAAAACATGTCAGCCGCCGTGTCCCAAGGAAACCTGAGTACCTTACAAACAATGGAATCTTACGTAGTACAAACCAGTACCCTTATATTTGTAGATACTCAGGATTCTTTGGGGTTGCATGTAAAATCCTTATCATATGGGTCTGGGATCCCATGCTGAAGCCAGCAAGCCTCATGTGCAGTCACACTCAATCATGGGCGCTACATATGTGCAACCCGGAGAGACAAAGCTATATGGGGATTGCAGTCTTGGGGCTCCAAACTCGGTAGTAATTCTCATGCGACTTATGTGTCCCTTGCCACATGCAGTGTTTTGTTCCCTCACAACGCAGCCCAGCCCCCTATATAAAACATATTAAACCTTCAACCCAAAACCCTAGACCCTTAACCTTAAATCCTGACACCCTAAACCCTAAACCAAACCCAGAACCGCATCTCAAAACTGCCTGGCGCTCGCCGTCTGATGCTTATGTATAAGCCTTCAAACACTGACATCACATCTTTCTAAGTCTAAGCAGTGGCCTCCAAATGTAGGGATCATTCATCTATATGAGCTATAGTCTAAACTCCTGGTATCCCCTTAGTGCTGACTATGTTTCCTTATATAATCACCTTTATGCCAATATTATATAACCCCCTTAGGTTTTAGGAGTTAGACTATAGCTCACACATAGGTGTATATGTCTTCATTTTCCCACAATTCTTCTAGTTTCTTGCGGGTCCATAAAGAAGGAATCCCCTATATGCTGGGAGGAGCTAAGCTTGACAAACCCCAAGACCCTAAACCCTAACCATGAAGCCCGCAGCGAAACGCTAGCAACAGCCAGCGAGCTGGAGTGTAAACTCCTTAAAGGGTAACTTTATAGGCAATTATATAGGGGATTATATATATATATATAGTATATAGGGTTTTTGCAAAGGGAATGCCAAGATGTCCGATTATGTTCACATGTTAATTGACACGGGGTTTATGCTTGGGGCTCCACGGGCTATGTGGGTTGATTGTAGTAGGACGGGTGCTTGATGTTTGGACTTCCATGTTGATCCGGAAAGGTTTGGGATTGACTCGTTGTTTTGGCTACCTTGCACGATAGCTTCAATCTTCTGAAAAAACCCCGAAACATACCACTGCATAACCAATAGTCCTTATATAAACCCCTGACGCACCCCGACTTGCCTTTGAAATGGCGTGTATCTAAACGGTTGATATTCAACATCCTGCGTGACGATAACTGCATATATATGGTTGCGCTCGTGACACGCGCTAGCTCCAAGAATCTAAGGTTATCAATATAGAGTGATCGCAGGATGTTGTATATCCAAACTGGGAATTGGTTTGGGAGGAACTGCTTCGGTTTAGGAATTGGTATTTACGAGTTGCATGGTTTCTTGTGCCAGTTCCAACACAAATCAAGATGCTTCGAGTCTCCTACCAGAATTCAGGTGTAACATTCTCAATATCGCCCTATAAATATCATTCACAATAATGTAGGTTGAGGATAGGGTCCAAGGATCTACAATTCGAAGATGCAAGGCCGAACGCCCTTCAAAGGAGGCAGAGCTATGTTCACAGTATGTGCTTGCAATACATGAAAATTGGGTTCACCCCCGCAATTTTGTAGCTCTCTATATATAAATCCTGTATAGTCCTGCTGGGCAAAGTGCGAACTGGGCGTATGTCCCTCATCATCATCCTTCGTTAATTCTTGCTTGGGAGTACTGCATGTCATCCACTGTTCTACAAAATCATATGCGCAGGATTATCGCTGTCAAGCTGGGTGCATTTGGTATATACCCCGCTCAATTTAAGAATAATTCTTCGTAAGGTGTGTAAACTTTTGGGGTTGGGGTTTAGGGATTTCATGACCCCACATGCGAAATCCAAGCTCCAAAAAATAGCTCAGGGGTTTACATAAGGTTTAGATTGTGTTTTCCGAAGATTTTTCTGCGCCGTAATTTTAAGCCATCCTGGGGTCAGAGAGCAACATATTTCGGCTTCATATAAATGTTTCGGACGATTTAACTTAAGGACGGTCTTTATCGTAAGCGATGAAGACAACAAGCATCCAGACCAGTGGCTGGCCCCTTCAGCTAGCGGCAATCTCTTGAGCATGCGTTGTGAGCGATCTGGACTTCAAATTGAGGAGGGCAGTGCGTGCTGCGTACGGGTTGTGCTGATTTTTTTGTTGGCTGCGGATGTTGCCGTTCGCGCGCAACCCCTAAACCTTAATACCCTAAACCTTATGATACCCTAAACCTTGTAACCTTAAACCCTTAACCCTAAACCCACGGGTGTTCCATTTTCGTAAACTTTCTTTACTAGTATTACTTAGAACTTGTGTTCTTTTTTGGAAACACGCCGTCAAAATCATAATGTTTTTTGTTCTTGGCTCAAGTTTTCAGTGGGCAGCTACCCACGTTGGTACAGGTTGCACGCAGATGCGCGCCTTCAATGCCTTAATACCAGTCCGGATTAGTGCCTGTGGCCTGACCAGGCCCGAAAGGACAAAATACAGTGTAACGTAGCCCGGTGTCCTTTCAAAAAAGAGTGCTGAGCGCACAATTTCCGAAAGGACTGGCCTTCAGGTTTGCCTTGCACTCATGAGCATGCTGAAGACTGCAGGTGACGTAGCCCGTGTCGTACGGATTGAGGTTGAGAAGTTGCAAAGACATCGAGCCAAGCATGATAAGATCCTATCGGGTAGAGAGGTGATAGCAATCATTTTCGAGAGTTTTAGGTCGAGTGACAATGCGGACGTCATGTTCATGATTGATAATCCATCAACATGAAGTCTTCATGAAGTACCCTGGGGATTCGAAGATCTACGACTTCTACACTCAGTGGCATGCAATCTTGGAAGGGATGCGGGCTGAAGATGTTCCACCTAAGCGTACACTTAGGGATATCCTTTACAAGAAGATCAGGGGTTCCACGGTCATGAAGTTCGACTTGTCCCTCTATGATCAGTTTGCGGATTCAGACCCCATGAAAACGTATGACCTGTTGATGAGCTTCATCGTCAAGCGCATCAAGTTGGATCGCGAAAAGAAGAACCAACAGGAGAAGGAGAAAGCCTGGACCGAGATCACGAACCCCAAGCCTGGGGCACCTGCTACTAAGGCAGAAAAGG